TCCCAGGAGCAGATCCGCAGGGAGGTGCAGGTAAGGGGGGGTCTGGGGCATGGGGCTGCCCACCCCCCGCCCCACCCCAACCCTGGGGGACGGGGGATTTGCCCCGGGATGCCCAGCATCGTGGGAGCCTCGTGTCTTCCCGTCGCAGGATTATTATGGCACCGTGCTGCAGAGGTCGGCAGATCTGCAAAGCAACGCCTGCGTCACCCGCCCGCAGCCCTTGCCTGCCGCCGCGCGGGCGGCTCTGGAGAGCGTGCACGAGGACGTGGCGTCCAGGTGAGCCCGTGCACTCGCCCCAATGCCCTGATGCTGCTGCCTCCAGCTCCGCCCCTTGCGCCGGCGCCTGATCCCGGGACGTCCTTCCCGCAGGTACTACGGCTGCGGCCTGGTGATCCCCGAGCGCCTGGAGGGCAGCCGGATCCTGGACCTGGGCAGCGGGAGCGGCAGAGATTGCTACGTGCTCAGCAAGCTGGTCGGGGAGAGCGGGCACGTCACCGGCGTCGACATGACCGCCGCGCAGGTGCGGCTTGCCGTGCACGGCGGGCTCCGGCACTTTGGCCCGGGTTCCCGTTTGCTCTCGGGGTCGGAGGCCAGGATTCAAAGCTGCTGGGGACGGGGGAGTTTGTGCCGTTCCTCGGGGTCCCTGCGGCGGAGGGTGCTTTAGGAGGCAGCTGGGGTCCTTCCCCGCAGGTGGAAGTGGCGAGGAAACACATCGGCTATCACACGGAGAAGTTCGGGTACCAGACACCAAACGTCGACTTCCTCCAGGGCTACCTGGAGAGCCTGGGAGACGCCGGGCTCCAGGATGAGAGCTACGACATCGTGATGTAGGTGCCGTCCCTGCAAGGGGGGGTTGGTCCCTGGCCGTGGATGGATCGTGTCTCCCCCCGGGGCTGCAGCTGCCCTGTGTCCAGAGGGCTGCTTGCTTCCTCTGTAAACTCGTGTCCGGTTGAAATCCGGAGGCTAAGGAACCGGTCGGTGGTTGTAACAGAACGGAGAAGAGACGACTTCAGCGGGGATTTGGTGGCAGCTCACAAATAGATCAGGGGCGAGGCAGACAGCTAGCCAGCAAAGCACCCCCAGGGAAAACCAGGTCATAAGCTCCTAGTGACTCATAAACTCGTGTGACCGGACTCTGGAGTAGACTCCCAGCAGGGGCGGTGCAGGGCATCAAAGGCGCCCGCGCTACCCAGCTGCAGGGTCGGATGGGCTGCCCGGGGCCGCTGCGTTTGTCTCTTTGCTGAGCTTTTATCTCCTCCTCAGCTCCAACTGCGTGGTTAACCTCTCCCCCGACAAAAGGGCCGTTCTGCAGGAGGCTTTTCGAGTGCTGAAGGTAACGTCGGAGTCTTGTGTGTGCGTGCACGTATGTGTCCGTGTGTGTGTGGGCATGCACATGTGTGCATGCACGTGTCCATCCCCTTACTGAAGCAGCTGGCACCAGCCACTGCCAGAGGTGCACAGACCCTCGCTTGGTTTCTGGCCTTTCTACCACGTAATAATTAGCAACGGCTGGAAGCCTCGTCTAGCGGCCTGGCAGGAATGAGCTCAGCAACGAAGCGCTGTTGCCAAGCTGGGCCACGGCCTCAGGCTCGCCCTCCCTGCTGCGCCGTCCCCTTGGCCGTGCAGGCTCTGACGGTCCCTCGTCCCCCTCCGTGGCCTTGTCCAGGGCCGTAGCCGTAGCCGCTTGGTGCGTCTAACCCACGCTCTCTTCCAGCCGGGGGGAGAGATGTACTTCAGCGACGTCTACGTCAGCCAGGACCTGCCTGCGGACGTCAGGAAGCACCGCGTCCTCTGGGGTGAGCGGTGGGTTTCACCTGGGGCAGTGCGGGCTAGTGGTCGCCTGGATTCCCTGTACGATGCCTGTCCTGGCCTGTGCCCGCAGGCGAGTGCCTGGGAGGAGCCCTGTGGTGGAAGGACCTCTACCGGATCGCCCAGGACGTGGGCTTCCGCCCCCCGCGCCTGGTGACCGCCAGCCCCATCACCATCGACAACAAGGCCCTGGAGAGCGTGGTCGGTGAGCCAGAGCCCTCCCCTGTCCCTGGCAGGGAAGCTGGAGCAGCTGAGCCGTGGCCGGGGTTCAGACGCTAGCCGGGAAGCCGGGCGCTGCAGGTGGAGGCTGGGACCAGCGTCTCGCGGCTGTCATCCGCTGCGAGCAAGCGCTGCACGAGGGAGGCTCTGGCAGCCCCCGCACCCTTGACCTTGGGCCTGGGGACGCACGTGCAGAGAGTGCCTGGCTTGGGGCCGGGGTCTGGAGGCCTGGAACAGGAGACATGAAACATGGGCCAGGCGCGCAGAGCCCCAGGGGCTCGGGCCCCGTTACCCAGAGATCCTGGCTCCGGCGGGAGGCAGAGTTGGCTCCGGCCCCCAGCGAAATGCAGCCACTTCTGGGGTGGGATGTGGCCGCTCTTTACAGCACGCTTCGGCCCTCCGGCCTCACAAAGCCCAGCCCTCCTACAGGCCCCGCAGAGTCCACCCAGGTCTGAGCATCGAGCCGGGGCCGTTGCAAGGAGTCTGCGGCAGTGACTTGGCCACAGGACCACAGCTGGTGGCTGTGCTGGTGCTGCACGAATCGACGTGGAGCTGGCTCCTCTCCCAGAGCCTGGCCGGGGGCGAGCAGGGCATCGCTCTGGAGACCTCACCTCCATCTCCTGTGCCTGTTTCTCCCCTGGGCAAAGCAGTGGGAGCCTGGGGAGATGTGGCGGCGGGTTGGCACCGAAGCAGGCAGCGTGGGTAAAACTAACTTCTCCCTTCGCTCTCCCATCAGGCGACTGCCGGTTTGTTTCTGCGACCTTCCGGCTCTTCAAAGTGCCCCCGGCGGGTGCAGGCGGGCGGTGCCAGGCCGTCTACAATGGCGGGATCCCCGGGCATGAGCAGGAGCTGGTGTTTGATGCCAACTTCACCTTCAAGGTGAGCAGGGAGCCCCGAGACCCAGCGCCAGGGCTGGGGGTGACTTTGAGTGGGCTGGGGCCACGGGTTGTGGTGTGCGGGGGGCTGCTCCAGTGCCACCACGGGGTCTGCCGTGTTCTCTGCGTCGCACGTGACCGTCCCCTCTGCCCCACAGGAAGGGGAGCCCGTGGACGTGGACGAGGACACTGCCGACATCCTGCGAGGCTCCCGGTTCGTGGAGATGTTCCAGATCCGGCCTGGCAGCGGGCAGACCCCGGCAGCCGGGGGCTGCTGTCCGGGGAAGGCTCAGGTGGGTGCCGGCTGCTAGCCCCGGACTCACAAAGGTCTTTTCTTGGCCTCTGTAATGGCTGCCATGGTCCACCCCAGAGGCGGTTGCATGGCAGGCGTGGGGAACCAGCCCCGCAGCATGTTGGGTAACGGCGAGGTGCGGTGCAGCCGTGCACGCCCTCGTGCCCTGGTGGGGTGGGATTCAGGTGGGCACGTGCTCTGGGAAGGGCATGTCCTTCTCCCTGCTGAGCACAGCCAGGCTGGGCAGCCCGGGACCACGGTGCTGTGCGGTTGCGGTCCTGGTGCCAGACCCTCCCCAGAGCTGGGGTGTCCGGCCCTGGCTCTTCGGCAGCCTGGGGTATTTTGGCAGCCCTGACTCTGGCTCGTGCGCAGCCCTGACTCCGCAGCCCAGAGCAGGGTTATCTTCCAGGACCTGCTCTCCTCCTCCAGCCGGCCGGCCTCCCCCAGCTGCAGCTCAGCCCGGCCCGGGGCCGCAAGGGGGATGATTGACTGGGGGGAGATAAAGCCAAGCAGCTGCACATCCCAGAGCTGCAGCCTTGGGCTCCCTGGGGTGGGCAGACAATGTTCTGGGCTCTTCTCCCAGCAGGAGGTATAGCTCAGATAAGCAGCCCGGTGGAGGAAAGCCGGCTGCCCTTCCAGCAAAGGGGCCGAGGCTCCCTGAGCGAGGGCCGGCTGGAGCAGTGGCAGGGTGTCTCGGGGCTGGCAGTGGATGGGCGAGTGGCCCAGTGCATGCCGCAGCCCTGCCTTCTCCGGAGGTGCACGCGGGATGACACGAAGGACACGAGAGGCACCAGCCTGGGCACACACCCGTCCAGCAGCGGGGAGGGGGTTCCCAGCCTGGATACAGGAGCTGTGCCTGGCGTGAGGTTTGCTGCCCGGGAGGCTCGTTTCAGAGCCACCTTCCCTTGCAAGCTAGCTGGCAATTCAGTAGAGGTCCCCTGTCCCTCGGGACTCCTCCAGGCCCTTGTAACTCTGAAGTCAGGCTGGGCTGAGACAGAACAAGCCGCTTCTAGGACGTCGTGGGGGTGCATTACTCTATCCCTATCTATGCCCTCGCTGCCTGTGAGCTTCTGGCCTGACAGGCCCCGGGGCCCTGCATTGAGCCGCATGCCCTGTGGGTGACTTTCCAGCCTCGAGGGCCAGGGCCAGGGCCAGGGCCAGGGTCCGGACGTGGCCAGGGCAGGGGGCTCGTGTCAGTCAGTTGCTCACGGCCTTCCATGGAGGAGGTCATGGCCACCTCAGTTCTGAGGGGAAACTGAGGCACAGAAGCAACCAGCCCAAGGCTGCTCAGCTGCAGAGCTGGGCACGGAGCCAGCGGCTGGGCTCTGACCGTGAGACCCTGCTCCTCTCCCTGACGTGCACCGGGCTGGCGCTCCAGCCTGCTCCCCGCTGTCCGGCCCGGTGATGGATGCGCCCGTGAGGCACGGGGGCCGCACATTGCCCTTGCCTCGATCGCTATCGCCAGGGAGGCCGAGCCCTGCCTAGGAAAAGAAAATAAGGATACCCTTGGGCTGGAACATCGCCGCGTCCCAGGCAGCCGGCTCCGGCACGTCCCCCCGGCTCTGCTCCCGTGGGAGACGTGCTGTTATAGGGTCAGGAGAAGGGGGACGCGGGGCTGGGGCTTGTGCCGTGTTACCAGGGAGGGGGATGAACCTTCTCTAAGGCCTGGAGGCTTCCTCCCAACTGAGCTGGCTGCATCAGGGTGTCTGGGGGGAGCTGGTCATTATGCATGTGTTTGGTTGCCTCCTCCTGGAAGCGGACGTGCTCCGCTAGCAGTCAGACGGGCGTCCCCGATGCCAGGCACCCTCCCAGCTTGGCAGTGGCGGGCACAGTTGCTTGGATGCTTGCAGGGGGGCCTTTGCCAGGAGTGCTAAGTGCTCCTGGAGCCACGGCTGCCGGCTCCATCCCTCCCGCTCCCCAGGGAGAGGGTCAGAACGGGCTCCTTGCACCGGCCAGGAGCGGATGTCCATGCTCGATGAGGCCAGAGGATGTTCAGCAAAAGGGGGAAATTCCCAGGCTCCCCATGCCAGGAGGTGTGGGGGCTTCCAGCGCTGCCCCCCAGCTTGACCTCAGCGGGTTGTGCGTTTCCTTCCTGCAGGCGAAGATCCTCGATCCGTTCCAGTTAGCAGAGCGGTTGGCCCCGAAGGGCCCTGCCCCGGTGCCGGCCAGCTGCTGCGGCCCCTCGGGGTGCAGGTGAGCGGTGGCCCCGCGGCAGACCCCAGCACAGCAGAGGCGAAGCATCCGGGGGAGACTGCGCAGGGCTGTGCTGCGGCTGCTGGGTTGGAGCCCGGACCACAATAAACCCGGCCCCGGTGCGTGGCTGTGCCCGGTTGACCTGCCTTTCTGTTCGCTTTATGGAGAAAACCGGTCTGTGTCGGGTCTGGAGGGAGCAACTCTGGGATGGGGGGCCCCGCTCTGGCCCCTGCTCTCGGGGTGTCCAGGCGATGGGGGCTGGCCTGCATTAGGCAGAGCTGGGCAGCAGCACCCCTAGGACAGACTCAGCCTGTGGCAGCTGGATGGGAGGCTGCCGGCTTCACCGTGCAGTGCACGCCTTGGGCTGGGGGCCAGCGCCAGTGCCCTGACTCCAGAAGCTGCTGTTACGCTTGCAGCTCCTTTGTGGCACCAAGCCTAGCACCCCTGTTCCCCACAGGGAGAGACCAGTGTCGTGGTTCACTCTTCCCCGTGGTGTGGGAGGACTCGGAGCCAGGATCTCCCCGGGAGGTGGAGGCTGGCGGGTGACTCGAATGCGGAGCAGCACTGAGCTTTCCCGTGGAGCCTGCGGCTCGGCTGTGCTGCAGGTGGCTGATGCCGGAGCACCTCGAGCCTCTCCGGCACCGTCCCTGAGGCTGGCTGGGGGGTCCCGGGGCAAAGGCGGGCTCGGCCCTTTGCCAC